TTGGGTAAAAATCGCGAAAATTAAAGCAGTGACCCCATTTTTTCAAATTATGAAATACATCCTCGAACATTTTTCTGTCAAAGCAAAAAGTTTGATACTAGAAGAGAGTCAAAGAATGGATTTAATTAATTTTTCAAGATAATCAAGTTATGGTTGATGTGCAGTTTTTAAATTCGTTCAATTAAATGAAAATTTGCAGTTTTACATTATTTTCGTAACATCCACATTTCATATACTATTACCTGAAACACGAGGTTTTGGTTTTAAAAAGTTACTGCTGAAATAACAAAGAATGTCAGTTATCAAGGTAAAAATTAGGAATAATACGTGAAAATAAATTATTCCCTGTTGGTCGTATTCTGACGACTGTATCAGAAAAAAAATGCCACATTGCCGTATTGAATTTTTTGCTTTTAAAATACTTTCTAAAATCTTACCTGTAAAAATATCATCACCAGAACAAAAGTTAGATACTAATCTTGACAAAAGTCCAGAACATTGCCAAATATAGGATGCATGACATTAAAAAAAAAATCGCAAATATTTGATATCCATTCGGGTAAAGTCGATTGAAAAATAAAAATGTTCTTTTCGCCTTTTCCTTATTATCCAAGTAGCATTATATTGCATTTTAGCCTTAAATGAAAAAAAAAATGATTTGCAAGGAAAAAAATTACCTCGATAGAATGACTGTTATTCATGTAAAAAAATAAAATAAAATAAGCAAAGATTTATATTTACAATCATACATGTTCTGAGGCCCGCAGTGATGGAACAAGTGTACAAAAACGTATTGCAAATATGTATTTCACTTATAAAAAAAAAAACTTCTTGACATCTTATCTTCGAAAATCATCACCAAACTTATGCATCTTTAAAATTAAAATAAGCGTTTGATAAAACATCCAAAAGATAATGATCGGGTTGCGGATTTTTTACCAGTCAAATTCACGGATAAAAGTTATCTTGACATACTACGACGAGAGAGGGGAAGTAACTCCTACAATGTATTGAAGCAAAAGCCAGTTATCTCTAGATATTTTGTCATAACGTTTTGTTTTTGTTAATGAAATATATTCTATGACGACTTAGTTGACAGCGTATTTTTCGTGAGTATAAGTCTGACAGTCCTGATAAGATTACAACTAAATTGCGCATGTTTTATCATTGCTTATCAATCATATACCTATTGCACGTGTTTTTCGTCCACTATTACGGCCTACGGCTGGTTTACCTTTCGGCACTGAACGAGAAAAGATAGGAACTGAGAGAAAAGAGTATGAAGGCGACCGCCTTAGCCTACTTATAGCCCTAACCTTACTCTAGCTAAGCACATCCTAACAAGAAGACTGGTTGTAGACAGAGAGGAAAATGGGGATTCTATTCTGTGTAAATATCGATATTTTATTACATTTTTGGAAGTCTGCCAAAATTCCTATTTCTTGATAGATATTCATCACTGTAACTCACAGTTTACAAATAATTGAATCTCGACCTGATAGACTACTTTCTTTCATTTTAGGATCCGAAAATATATGTATATTTCAGCTTGTCTCCTCTCCTGGTCTTGGTAATTCCCCCCCCTGAAAAAACTAAATAAATAAATAAAAAAAAAAAAAAAAACCAAAATGACCCTTTCGTTTTGAATCATAAAAACTATTCTGGAATGTTCACATTCACGGTAAAATGGAGCCGTTTTTCATATTTGTACTGGTTGTTATACTCTTTTAAGCTTGCTAAATTAAAAATAAATTGATCATTTTCACATCACTATGTTCTGTTTGTCCATTTTTACACTGAATGCAAGTTATTCAGGCTAATGATGTTATAGAAATATGATTATTTCCTGTAACACATATTCTGACAGCTATAGCGGTGAAAGAATGCAGCAATTTTTTTTTTTTTTTCTAATTTCTTTCTAAATCTAACTTTTCATAAGATCATCAAACCACCCTCGGTACTCCAGGGGTTTCAATCACTTTCGCTCACTGCTTCCAAGCACAAGCGAAGTAATTTGATTTGCTGCAGGAGAAAAAAATAGCTGGTACGTTCCTTTTGAAGATAACAAAGGAGCGACACCCAACTTCAAAACCATAACAATATACCATTATGCAACCTCGAGATTCTTTTGATGTATATCAAACGATAAAACTAATCTATTCGTCTAGTCTAGAAGCTTTCGTACATGTAACCTACAATTTTGCAACTAGGTATCCTTTAGAAATCTAGATCACCTTGTATTCATACATCAATATTACCAGAAAGTTCAATGCAATCCAAAGTTAACGCAAAAAAGAAGCATTAAAAAGGCAAGGCTTTTCAGAAAAGACATGAGCGAAGTCTTCAGACAATCTGATAACTACATTATAATTTTCATATTCTTTTGCTACATTCCTTCACTCAATTTTATATCGTTAATCATACAGTCATATTAAGTGTTGCCAATATCGTGTGATGGAAAATTCTTGTTTGTTGAAGAAAATGAGAAAGCTAAACGACCGTCATCATTATCTCTTGGGATTCTTGGTAGTGACTGGAAGTAAAGTTTGATGTGTTGGATGCTCGTTAGTTAAGTGTCGACGGCTACGAAAACCCTTACCCATAAACGCCAAGTTTTATTCTCTGTGCTCTTTATCATGGGCAACTGTAGAAATCTTTCATTCATGTTTTGCCTTCGGTTTTTAACAAATAGTTTTGTTTTCCAATCTGTATTCTCTTCTTGTTGTTTTGTCTTTGAATCATGAAATAAAGACTTGTGATGTTGTTTCTTGTTCTGATCTTTACCTGTTATTCAATTTACAAGGATGAACCTGGTTGCTGAAATCCATCCTGAAGATGAACGCAGTGCATCATATTTACAAAAAGTACTTCTTGATTCTGCCTGACATACTCCGCTGCAAAATCCATGGATATCTACGATTTACATTATATTTCACTGACACCATTGACCCTTCTCAAAGCTCTCTAAAAGGTTCATATTTGGTATCGTGATTAGATAGATTTGATGTATTCTTTAGCTTGATCATCCGTGAAAGTTCACTTAGAAGGTAAAAAAGTGTCTAGGACATACGAATCTATTTTGAAGTATTTATATGCGATTTAAAAGCATTGAAGCAGTGTTTGATGTTGGTTAATATGCCGGGTTGCTCCGTTCCCATTGTTTACTTTGTTCTTATTTAGGAACGTGACATTATTTACATGAATTGATAAATACTTACATGATGGGCGTCGTCATCGGGATCCGGCCTTTTCCTTTTTGTACTTTTTCGGGAGTCTTCGTGTAAATCTTTCTTTTGTTCATGTTTTGCCCGAGTTTCATCGTATCAATATTTTGCTCGAACTTCACTGAATTGGAGTTTAAATTAAGATTCTGTTGACATGTTGGTATTGTCTTTGTTTAAGAAATGAAAAAGACAGATTGACAATTCTTGATATAAAGTTGACATGTAGAACTTTGTCGCTATCTTCAGTAAGCAATATAAACAGTCTCCTTGCTAGGATATGCGTCTCCAGGAACATGCAAACCGATAGACAAACCTCTGAATGTGTTAGTATCATTGTCATGACATGGCCTCTGTAAAGTTGTCATAAAGTGTTTAAAGCCTGGATGATGTTTAACCGTGATGGACATGTACCACATCAATGTATCGTTCAGTGGAGACAAACATGTAAATATTTCAGTAACGGTAACACGTAATCGTCAAACTTAACATAATTACGATGAAGTCGTTCTTGAGGACTGAATATTGAATCACGTTTTGAATGGAGTAACATTAAATCAAGTTGTCTGCACGGTAGCCTATGTCATATATTAAGAATGCAAGGATGCATTTCGGGCAGAGAAGAATATTTTTTTGATTAAACGCATGACAGATTAGTCGTAGACCTCCTCTTGTTCCAAGTCCTAACAAAAAAAAAATAATGAACTTTATCGTGAAGTTACTGCTAAAATAAGATGTGACGTAGGAAAATAAAAATATTCTATATGAAGTTGAAGTTATCTTCCCTTCTGCTTCAATCAGACTTGGAAATCAAATTCCACCGTCCGAACAAGCAAGTATTTTCCATGACACCAACTCCTGGGTTTCCACTCTGTGGACTCTAATATTACGAAGGACAAAATAGCTAAATGTAGATTTGTCCATGACCAGGCGTACATCAAGGTGCTTCTTCATATGTGTGCATGTCTTTTGAAAACCTCTTGGGATTCATGGAATTCTATGAAGAGGTATTCATGCTGGAGCGTTGTACTGCTGTGTCTAGGGAAGGTATCGTACTTAGCGAACATATAAGGACTGTTTCTTGTTATTTTTATCGCACCTTCAAACATTGATGTTATTGGAATGAGTTCAGGTATACTGTTTATCAATGTGGTATTGAAATAAATTTACATTTATCAGTCAGAGTCCGACCTCCCAAGTCCAAATCTATGGAAAAGAGGGCCAATTCCGCCATTTCATGCGTGAACTTGTAAGACAGGAGAAGACGACCAGACAACTGCTGTGCATGTGACCGTTTGTATTAGACGTCGAATTCTTTGTCGGTCAACTGTTCAGAGGAATTACACAGGTAATTTTATCAAATTAACTGATATTTCAGCAACCTTGAGACTATTTTGTTAATTACGATATATCTAATATTGATGTAAAGTGCTAACTAATACAAGCAAAAAAGCTACATCTATACTAAGATTTTACAACAGACACACAAATACGTAAATAATTCTTTCAGTGATCCCAGGATTTGGTTTTACTTGCCAATGATTAATATACCTTACTTACGAAATATACATAAATATGGGATTGTTTATGACTAGTTGACCATAATTACAATATATATCTAAACACATTGTGATGACGGTCAAATAAGATTTTTTCTTTTCAATTTTACAGTTTTTGACATACAATGGCAAAGAGGCTTTAATAAACATTTATAATGAAACACACAGAGAAACACCGTCAATGATACTTTGGCACGATAAGAACAACAACGACAAAGTATCATTTTTTCAAAATTTTATTCTCTCCTTTGCTTTGCAATAATGATGTTTTGGAAGAGTAAACCGAATAGCCGCCACTAGGGGACGCTGTACATTTGGTTCATCACCAGCAGGTGGCGATCTGGTGTGTACGAATGATGTAAGGAAGTGATTTGTTGATAACTGCAAACTGATTTGGTTGTAGAGATTATAAAGAAACTAAAACAAAGCTGCCATGCTTTACATGGCGTCAATGAAACCCCAAAACGATATAATATATTTACATCTAGATACTATTTCACACTTCAATATAATATATGTATATATTATTAATTATTCAACAGTGCTTGGTGCACTACCTAATATGCTATATTAACAAAGATGTCTGCTGTATCTGTTCTATCATTGTTAGATAATTTTAAACTGGAGTTTTACTTCTAAACAGAAAAAATAGTATTAGACAAGTGTATAGTGATACAGAAAGACAAAGAACGTATGGTAACCTAGGTAACGATGTCATTTGGATAGAGCACGTGATTATCAAATAGGGTAGGTAATTCCACTGGAGAAATCAAATTGTTATTGCAGAAGAAAATGCGGTTAATGTATTATATATATTCTGTTTTATTAACAGTATTATAGATAATCATTAGACGTAAGAGAAAATATGACAGAAACAATGACACTCTATATAAAGTATAAAGAAAATAATCCATTTCAAATGTTTAAGTAATGATAAAGTTTATTCACGAATGCGGATTGAGAGGAAACAATAACCGATGGAATAAATAAATGGGAATGAACTCCACGACCTTCTAAGCAATACAAGGTGAAATGAATATGATTTATTTTGTACATAGATGTAAATAAAATAAAATTGGACAACTCCTATATTTATGTACATATATCTGTTAATGACAATAAAACACGTGACTTATATCAGCCAATACAGCTGCGAGGACCAATACCTATGTAACAGACAAGTCACAAGTCTAATAGCCACCCGAACGTGACCTATATAGACAAAAATAGTTGACATAGTTATCCAAACATGGCCTATTTTAAGTAAGAATAATGTCACCACTCAGTTGACCTAGTTATTAAAGATGAATTGTGAAGAGTTAGATAAATAGGGTATTACATAAATATCTGCAATTCTTTTACACTGAAGTAATGCTTTGTCTTGTATTTTATGTTTTAAATGTTAAATGATACCAAAATGCATGACATGACTAAACAAAATTAAAAATGTCAATTTGAAGCTAGCATATCCTAGCCATTGTTATTTCCAGCAAACCTTTGAGACATGAGAATAAAAAACCAAGGACAATACGCGACACTTCATAGCTGTGTAAAACAGAAGTTGTCGATAAAATCGAATGATGAGCGATGTTTTAGGTTAAAATGTTAGTAAACATGAATTTAACACCATATTGCAAGTATGTATATATATTCTAGGATACAAGAGTCCTTTTAGAGACCGTACAACAGTAATGCATTACACGACAGCTCGCTAAAAAGAATGCTGGGTACTGAATCCATCCCCCTGACTATCAAGTGTTCTTTTTATCTCGTTTCTATGGAATTACTTTCTTAGTATTGCTTATACAATCGAGATAATCGGATATCTCGATAATGACGTACGGATTGTGAGGTAAGGTTTAAAAAGACAGAGAGAACTGATGTTAGTTGGCAGAACTCTGTCATATGTAGGTTTAGTCATATGTAGGTTTAGACGATGATAGTTTTTTTCGCTGACAGGCGTTTTACGACCATTCAGAAACTAAACGAAATCCACCAGTTTAACCTTTACGACCGTCCAGTAACTAAAGGGGAATTCCCTTGCCTTAATCTTTACAACCGTCCAGTAACTAAAGGGGAATTCCCTCGCCTTAACCTTTACGACCATCAAGAAACTAAAAGGGAATTCCCTCGCCTTAACCTTTACGACCACCAAGAAACTAAAGGAGAATTCCCTCACTTTAACCTTTACGACCATCAAGAAACTAAAAGGAAATTCCCTCACTTTAACCCTTTTCTTTAACTAGGTATGAAATCTTACATTAGTGACATTTATCAGAATTTCTCTAATGGCTTATAGTATTGAATTCGCGAGGTTTGTGGGTATTTATGTGTACATATCAACATTAAACATTACTGGCTACCATCTTAAGAAACAATACATTAAAATATGCAGTATTTTTAGATAGCAAATCATGGGAGGCTTTGTATACCATGAACAGACAGGAGCGGACATTAAGATCAGACAACATACATATAAGCGGTCATTAATAATACTAATTAGTCACAAATGGAAATGGGGACTTGGAAATATATCACAATACATCAGAGTAAATATATACAACTTAGCAACGGTAAATGACTGGACAACTGACCTTGGCGTTTTGCATCTAATCTGATAGACACGTGTGTTAAATACATTTCAAATTTGTATCTGTTATTGTAACATACGGGAATGATTCACCAGTCGCCATATTTTCCAAATGACCCCATGTTTAGACGGCAAGCTTTGCTTTTTGAAATAACTATGAAAAGTAGAACTCGATATACATGACTTGAATGTGTTTCTATCAACCAAGTTCAGTTGATCCAGAATTTACCGTTTCATACCTTGTAAAACAATTATCTGAGGTAATTCAATCTTACACTGGGACACACATTTAATGTAAAAATTGTTAAATTAAAACAAACTCAACAAAACTTTTTATTTACAATAATGATAGAGGTAAAATCTATCAAGTTTAACAAAATGGATATATATATACTTATCTTTCCTAACAATAATTGGTTAATATTGGTATAATTATGTACGGACCTCGTGAAACACTTAGATGTTTATAGCAATAATGTTTAATAAGTCCATTAAAGAAAGTACTCTTTATATTCAGCATGTAGATAAAAGGACACTTCATTAAAATTGTTAAATATTATAAACAAATAATAATAAAAAGAATATATAACATGTATCATTAGCAATTATAGAATATGCAGGTAAAAAAAGACTGCTTCAACTTTCATTTGAATTTTGAACATCATCATATTTAAGCACGTATTGTTCGTTTGCATGAACGTGTGTTGCCGTTATTGTGACCTGTTGGTAGGGTCTTGTATGTACAGTTCTGTTAATATGTAGTAATTAACCTTAATTAACCTTAATGTTGTCAGGTTAGGATTAGCACGTGATATAGAAGGGATATTAAGTTTATTTAGTGATAATTATCCATAAATATATTGAACAAATACAACCTTCAAAATTAAACAAATTGCAATTATGGACGAACAGTAAAAATAATTTCCATTAAACCATAATATTTTAAATAATGCATCACATGAGATACAACCAACATAACACAAATGCATACTAACAATCGTCCATCAATTATCATTGTTTGAGCAGAAAGTTAAGTTTAATATCTTCTTTGCAATGTCCTATACTACATCACACTGACGATTTCCAAAATGTTTCCAAAGTAGTGTTACGAAAAAACAAGTGTGATCAACAAACTGAAACAAAAATAACAAGTGCAATCAATGGTATTTCACTCATAAAGACATATCACGTGATATACGTCTGGGGCACGTGACAAATATTGATTTATTTGCGGTTAAGTAAGAGAGAGGCCCAGGATGTTAATAAAATTAATCTATAATCTTTCTTATACACTGGATGTTGTAATATTACGGCGGGTTGAACAGTCTGAAGTTGAAATATGATTATTCAGATTTTTTCAATTACACTATTAATACAAAATGTTATTAATTTCAATAAACACACGATTTATGATATTTGTGACATTCAATCTTTGATTGGTAATTTTATGCAGAATGCAGGCATACATATGATTAAACTCCATAGAATCAGCGAAGTGACTGGAACTATATCCGGTATTCCATTTGACAATCTTGATTTCCTTGGAGTACTTTTGTTGGGATTTGAGACTTGATGCCGTCACATTATGCCATAAGGTCATATAACGCCTGACATTGCTGATATGGCTGTGCGTTAAAATTGTCTGCACTGTCTTAGATTACAAAGAAACACACACTGTAATCGCCTTTCGGCAATAACCGTTCTCAGAGCTACTGCCACTTGTTTTGTGTGTTAAGAACACATCCATGGTTTCTTGAGAAACCAATGACCAACAAAGAGTATGAGGTCAAAGTTCAGCACACTTTTCCGCTGGCACGTAAACAGTGGTTACGACCGCTGTGGTCTTGTGGCAGCTGGAGGTTTCAGTAGCGTTGTCTTGGTTACCATTGTTACCAATGACGACACCCATGGATTCCATAGAGCTACACCGTTTCATCATCATTCTCTTCATGTTAGCCCTGTCCTTCCGCACACTCTGACTGTAAATAAAAGATATGAAGACTGATAATTCAGTATATGCACTGATATGTAAATAGTTATCATTTCCTCCGTACACACAGTAAGTCATATTTAACACAGCTTTGTTCTTTTGACGTCAGTATAATGCTGAACCTTTTGGTAAAGTGTTTGACTAAACGTAATCAATATATTTACTTATTAAATTCACACATGTATTTTATGAATACCTACACAACTCTTCGGCTCCATGCAAAATAAATTATTTCATATTCACACGTGTATGTTGGTTAATCCACTGTTGAATTGTAACGTGCAGCTTGTCTATGACGATTGTACAAACGACACACAAGAAGTGAATAGCAATTTTATTAGAAATATAATACAGCACAGCCAAACATTGAATTAAACTGCCTCATACAGCTGTTTCGACATGCTAGGATGTCAGTGATGCTTAAGGCCTGAATTGTTGAAGCCTTGGAGGCTAGGAAAAAAAATTCAAAGTGATTGAAAAAAGTTAAAATCTTGATGGGGAGGTGCACTAGCCCCAAATAGTCAAATAATTTTGATAACAACGTCTGGTATATCTGTATGTTCCGAACAATGACACCATTCGAATGAATGAAAACATATTATACAGACCACTGAAACGTCTAAATTCCTTTACCCTAACTAGCAGACAGCTGTGCAGCAATGTTGTCAAGACATTTTATTTTGTAGAAGTGTGTCAAACATTTAGTAGGAAGATAATGCTCTGTTTTATTTTGATGTTATTGGTGGCGATCGATTCACCAGCTTGGTGATTTAGTTGACTAAATCTTTAACAAGATACCAATGAGGAAGTTTAGGATGTCACACTAAACAGCAGTGTGTACACCGTCTGTAGTATGTGTTGTATGGGCTTCACAATGCTTTTAGAGTGCTGTGTATAGGCCTAACACACAAATGTTTATATTTATTGATAAAGTAACTCGCATCATTATAGTACAGATCACATATCATGTATACATATATCGCTTGAATCATCGATATATCGCCTTTAGCTTAAATGTATCGCCTAAATCCTTGATACATCGCCTAAAGCTTAAACACATCGCATACAGTCTTGATATATCGCGTAAAGCTTAAACATATTATCTACAGTCTTATATAGCCTACAATCACTCTTTATCGCCCAAAGCATCTATATATGTCTTCAGCTTTTAAACATCGCATATTGCATTCGAATATCGCTGATCTAAATCATTGCCCTTATCCTTGATCCATCTCCTATATTATATATACATCGCCAATAACATTTGTACATCACCTTCGAACTACAGAAATTGTGTTATAATTGATTTAAACAATATAAGCCTACTGGGTATTTCTCCCTTCCCTCAACTCCTTGGTTTTTCTACATTACGTTTAGTATATATGATCTACATACTTTATAACGATTGATGCGTAGAGATTACATATGAACCACAAAAAAAAAAAAAAAAACCACCGAAAATGCCTTACTGCCTTCAGGTTTCTGATAGACTGGAGCTTTATTGCGGCAACGGTCAATAACGTCTTGATAAGTCGTCAGTAGACTCTTGTATCTTGTAAGTCGCCAGTAGACTATAGTATCTTGTAAGTCGCCAGTAGACTATAGTATCTTGTAAGTCATCAGTAGACTATAATATCTTGTAAGTCGCCAGTAGACTATAGTATCTTGTAAGTCGTCAGTAGACTATTGTATCTTGTAAGTCATCAGTAGACTATAGTATTTTGTAAGTCGTCAGTAGACTATAGTATCTTGTAAGTCGCCAGTAGACTATAGTATCTTGTAAGTCGTCAGTAGACTATAGTATCTTGATAAGTCGTCAGTAGACTCTAGTATCTTGTAAGTCGTCAGTAGACTATAGTATCTTGTAAGTCGTCAGTAGACTATTGTATCTTGTAAGTCGCCAGTAGACTCTAGTATCTTGTAAGTCGTCAGTAGACTAAAGTATCTTGTAAGTCATCAGTAGACTCTAGTATTTTGTAAGTCGTCAGTAGACTAAAGTATTTTGTTAGTCACCAGTAGACTCTAGTATCTTGTAAGTCGTCAGTAGACTATAGTATCTTGTAAGTCGCCAGTAGACTATAGTATCTTGTAAGTCGCCAATAGACTGATATCTTGATATGTTTTCAAGTGTATGCAATTTATTTTCGAAACAAGCAAAACATTGCTAACACACAAATGGGATACATGAAAGCTTCGGACGAGGATGATCATGCCAAAAGGACATGCACTGCATGTTAAAGGAAGGCATACATGACAAGCATATATTGTTTGCAACAGCCAGCATTATACGGGCAGCATTGTCCTCATTTTACGCTTCAACATTTTAACAGAGATAGAAGAGCTTAATAATTAGATTAGTGATTTTCTGAGACATGTACAACGCCTGAAGAGGAAATCACTTTATCAAAAACAGACGAGGTTTGATTGGTACATTACTACAAAGGAATTCGAAATAGAAAGTTTTCTCTTGGGTTAACCAACGTCAGCGGTAATGGGGAAGGCATTTATGCAAAGCATAATCTGTGGATCTGGGACATTCGTAGAATTACACTAACAAGACAGCATGTCTGCTACATCTGTAGAATAACACTTACAAGACAACGGATGTGCCACATCTGTAGAATTACACTAACAAGACAACGGATGTGCCACATCTGTAGAAATACACTAACAAGACAACGGATGTGCCACATTTGCAGAATTACACTAACAAGACAACGGATGAGCTACATCTGTAGAATTACGCTAACAAGACAACGGATGTGCCACATTTGCAGAATTACACTAACAAGAAAATGGCTGTGCTACATCTGTAGAATTACACTAACAAGACAACGGATGTGCCACATCTGTAGAATCATACTATCAAGACAACGGATGTGCCACATCTGTAGAATCATACTAACAAGACAACGGGTGTGCCACATCTGTAGAATCATACTAACAAGACAACGGGTGTGCCACATCTGTAGAATCATACTAACAAGACAACGGATGTGCCACATCTGTAGAATCATACTAACAAGACAACGGGTGTGCCACATCTGTAGAATCATACTAACAAGACAACGGATGTGTCACATCTGTAGAATCATACTAACAAGACAACGGATGTGCCACATCTGTAGAATCATACTAACAAGACAACGGATGTGCCACATCTGTAGAATCATACTATCAAGACAACGGATGTGCCACATCTGTAGAATCATACTATCAAGACAACGGATGTGCCACATCTGTAGAATCATACTAACATCTGTAGAATCATACTAACAAGACAATGGGTGTGATATAACTGTAGAATCATACTAACAAGGCAATGGGTGTGATACAACTGTAGAATCATACTAACAAGACAAATAGCGATTTCTATATAGCTGGCTATAGGTCACAATCGTCTTTAAGTCAGTAACAGCAGTAATTGTCTAACAAACAGTTGTGAATCACCGACAAACAGTTGTGAATCACCGACAAACAGTTGTGAATCACTAACAAACAGCTGTGAATCACCGACAAACAGTTGTGAATCACTAACGAACAGTTGTGAATCACCGACAAACAATTGTGAATCACCGACAAACAGTTGTGAATCACCGACAAACAATTGTGAATCACCGACAAACAGTTGTGAATCACTAACGAACAGTTGTGAATCACCAACGAACAGTTGTGAATCACCGACAAACAATTATGAATCACCGACAAACAGTTGTGAATCACTAACAAACAGTTGTGAATCACTAACAAACAGTTGAGAATCACCGACAAACAGTTGTGAATCACTGACAAACAGTTGTGAATCACCGACAAACAGTTGTGAATCACCGACAAACAGTTGTGAATCACTAACAAACAGTTGTGAATCACCGACAAACAGTTGTGAATCACCGACAAACAGTTGTGATTCACCGACAAACAGTTGTGAATCACTGACAAACAGTTGTGAATCACCGACAAACAGTTGTGAATCACTAACAAACAGTTGTGAATCACTGACAAACAGTTGTGAATCACTAACAAACAGTTGTGAATCACTAACAAACAGTTGTGAATCACTGACAAACAGTTGTGAATCACTAACAAACAGTTGTGAATCACTAACAAACAGTTGTGAATCACTGACAAACAGTTGTGAATCACTAACAAACAGTTGTGAATCACTGACAAACAGTTGTGAATCACTGACAAACAGTTGTGAATCACCGACAAACAGTTGTGAATCACCGACAAACAGTTGTGAATCACTAACAAACAGTTGTGAATCACTGACAAACAGTTGTGAATCTCTGACAAACAGTTGTAAATCACTAACAAACAGTTGTGAATCACTGACAAACAGTTGTGAATCACTGACAAACAGTTGTAAATCACTAACAAACAGTTGTGAATCACCGACAAACAGTTGTGAATCACCGACAAACAGTTGTGAATCACTAACAAACAGTTGTGAATCACCGACAAACAGTTGTGAATCACCGACAAACAGTTGTGAATCACTGACAAACAGTTGTGAATCACCGACAAACAGTTGTGAATCACCGACAAACAGTTGTGAATCACTAACAAACAGTTGTGAATCACCGACAAACAGTTGTGAATCACTGACAAACAGTTGTAAATCACCGACAAACAGTTGTGAATCACCGACAAACAGTTGTGAATCACTAACAAACAGTTGTGAATCACTAACAAACAGTTATGAATCACTGACAGACACGTATGAATCATGCTAACGAATAGCTTTGAATAAGCCACGGCTATAAATCAACATCAAACAGTTGTGAATCATATGTAAACAGCTTTGAGTCAGTGACAAACAGTTGTAAATCAGTGACAAACAGCTGTTTATATGAGTAAAAAATACATGTAATTGTGAAAACATATAAGCAGCCTTGAATAAGTGACAAACAGCTGATTGACATATATAAACAGTTGTGAATCATGTTAACGAACAGCTTTGAGTCAGTGACAAACGTGTGATTGATG